TCGACAAGTTGAGAGACGTTGGATATACTGGACATTTGGTCTAGAAGGTCTGGTTCGGCGGGAACTGAAGACGACATGGTGGAGACTATTGAATATATTGTAGAGCTTTTTGTAATGTCACGGACGAGGGTGAAGACGAGGACGGAGACGAGGACGAAGACGGAGACGGAGACGGAGACTAGGACGAGGACGAGATGTAGACGAGGACAGAGACTAGGACAGAGACGAAGACTAGGACTTAGGACAGAGGCGAGATTCTAAGGTGTAGATAAAATACAAGACAAAAAGCTACAGTACAAATACATCCCAAGAGCTTCCTTAAGTACCTGAGACCGGTCACTACAATCAAGGGTGCAATAGCCCACAGCTATTACATAGCAACTGATCAGTATCTTGACTAGTGACTGTTGCTATCACAACACTGTAACCATTGCAAGGCACTAACCCTATTCCTGAGTGTATTCATGGGTCGGTTGGCCAGGTGCAATACAATATCACAAACTGGTCTGTGACAATCTCCCCTTTTGTTGTCAAAGTTGTTGTTTACCCAAAAGTCTCTGTTGGGATGGTATTTGTTTGTGTTATGAAAAGCCTTGAGACTGTGGTTGGAGATGAAATTGTTGATCAGTTCTTCCAACAACCATTGTTTAGTTTTTGAGGTATGTGAGGCCTCATAATGCCATCTGTGGGCCCTTTTCTCGACTGCACGTTTGAATATAAGTATTGTGATATTGTCAGCTAACTCCTGACCAGTTGATTTAAAGTCTCTAACGCAGACTCTAAATTTTGTCACGAAATCAATGGCGTTACCTCCGTCGTAAGCCAGCTCTATTAGGTCATTGAAAAAGTTTTCAGCCTGTATTGTGCCAGACTATCGATATGTCTTGTTGAGTAATTTCATCATATCCGATCCGCTGCTTAAATCTTCAATGATTCTTCTTGGGTTATTGGTCACTGATCTCCAGATCATTGATCCGAAATTTGCTTTATCTAGGTTTGTTAATTTGATCCCTTTAACATACCCTATTGACTGCAAAGCGAACATCACGTCATTTTTATAAACTCCCCAATCCTGGGAGCCGCGTAAGAAGTGGTCCTTGTGTGGTTTCCACTGTAATTGATCCCACCTGAGATTCATTTCTGCTGTGGTTACTTGTAACGTCCTTTGAGGAGGACTCCACCAATCGTCGTCGCTGTCGGACTGTTCGCTCCTTTTTGCCGAAGAACTAGACTCGTTATCGACATTCTTCCTTCTCACATTGGATTTCCTATTGGACCTTGACTCGTCCATCTTGTAATTGCTGGGCCTTGTCTTGCCCGAAATACTTGCGACCGATTGATCGGACTCAAGATTGTTGTCTTTCTGTTGTGCAATAATGTCGCGATCAGCTTTAGACAGTTTTCCTGACATTTTAGTTGTGTGAAGAAAGTAAAGGAGTTCTTTTGATCGTAAAAAGATAATGCTACCATATAAAATCCTTTCTCAAAGGGTGAAGTTATATTACCCTAACTCGGTATATCTAAATCTAAATACAAAAGTTGCTCATGTTCCAAGTATAGAGTGTTCCCCCATAAATCAACCCATTTAGCGTCGCTCGCTTATTAGGGCTAACATAGGACATGCAAGGATTAAGGTTTACACAATTATTATTTCCCTTGCACTTTTACACTTTGCAAAATTTTCTGGCAGCTATTGTCATACCTGGCCACCAATAGGTTCTATTAATCAGGTCTATGGTTCTTTCTCTACCTAGGTGGCCAGCAGGTCCTGAATTATGTGCTCTGTGAAGTAGCTGAAGCTGGATACTTTTGTCATCTGGCGGAATAAGTAAACAATCCCGGTAGTACACTTGGCCAGCAACAATTTGACACTCACTAACTGCTATTTTTAGAATTTTTGCTAGGGAAGCTCTCCTGTACCTTTTCGATTTGTCTGACAAATCGTCCACTATTTCCTGCATTACTAAGGAGTCGTAATATAATTCAGAGATTAAATCATCAATTGGTCGAGGAACATCTATTTGGTATAAAGACATAGATTTCAAAGAAAAAGTATGATGAAATTCAGAAGATGAGATTAATGGAATTCGCCTGGCCGAAAGCCTGTCATCTAATATATCTCTTGGTGCATCTTGTGGCCTTTGGCTCAAAGCATCCGCCCTTGTATTAACTGAGCCAGGTCGGTATACAAAGCGGAAATTATAACAGGAGAGGAAATCTGCCCATCTGTCAGAGCTGCATGTAGACAGCAGGGCGGAATCATAGGTCAAAGAGGTGGTATTCAGGCTAAAGGGCGCCATCCTACATTATGCATGAGATAGGTGCATAACTGCTCGGCCAAAAGGCCAGACCAGAATCATAGAACACTAGATTCTGGTTATCTCCACATATATAGATTATGCAGAAGGCAATCCTGACACCATCTCATTTGTCTCTGGTTTAATTCTTTGGTTGTTTAAAATGTCTGAAGGTTTTTATGGTCGGTCAGAATATCAAAATGGTCTTGTAGTCCTTCCAATTCTGGCCGCCATTCTTCCAAAGATTTTATCACACCAAGGAGCTCTTTATCATAGATATCATAATTACATTCTTGTGTCAAATGCTTGGACGAAAAATAAGCTACGGGGCGAAGCTCCTTGCCAAAGTATTGAGATAATATACCCCCGCAAGCCCAATGGCTGGCATCTACTTCCACAACTGTTTTTCTTGACCAGTCAAAAACCGCAAGAGATGGCGCTTTTGTGAAGGCCTGTTCTAAATTTTCAAATGATGATGCATAGTCATGTGTCCAAACCCATGCAGCGTCTTGTTTAGTGAGTCCATGAAGTGGTCAGGTAAGCTCAGAGAAATTTTTAACAAATCAACAATAGAAATTTGCAAAACCTAAAAACCTTGCAATTGTCTTTTCGAAGTCAATGGTTCCCATTCAAGAATAGCCTTTACTTTATCCGGGTCCATTTCAATTCCCCCTGACGTGATGATGAGGCCCAGGTATTTAGTTTTCTTGGTGTGAAACTTGCAGTTATTAATGTCAATTTGCAGCCCAGTAGTGCGCAGCCGTTCAAGTACTTCTCTTACATGCTCGATGCGCTCTTCTTCAAAGTTAGAGAAAGTTAAGCCATCATCCAAGTAATCTGTAGCATATTTGTCTAAAACGTCTGTCAGACCAGTATCAGAGCCCGGTGGAATTTGTATTCCTGAAGTAATGTTTCGTGATTCATTTAAATTCCATTCTTCTAACATGATTGTAACATTTTTGTCAGAATAATATGCCAAGCTGGTACCTGACATAATTTGTGATTGCCTCAGGAAAGCCTTTGCGTTTTGGGTAATTTTCAGCTAGAAAATACTTGGCGTCTGTGTAATAGACGTGGTGGACTGGTATTGAGTCGGTTTAGGATTACATCTTGGCTACAACATGTTTAGATTATGTCTGGCAATGTAAGGAAGTTATTTCTAGATATTATCATCATATGTCAGGTAGTAGATGTGTATAGATATATAAGCTGAGAGAAAGGGGAAGGAAGACAGACAGACAGACAATCACATCTTTTTATTTTATTTTAATTGAAAGCTCCTGTGTGAGCTATTCTTCCAGATACCTCTAGTCTCAATCATTACAGCTTCCAAACCAGCTCAAAAGGTTCGACAGTTATGAGCCCGGTTAAACTCTTCTACGCATAGAAAAGTGATATCGGTCTATCAATCTTGCTAAGTTAATTGTCCTGTTGCAACAGTCTTATTTATTATTTTTATATTTTTTCATATTTTTCATATTGTTTCTAGTCAATTATTACGGTTTTTATTTCTTCATCAGCCATTTTTTACTATTAAATTTTTAGTTCCGATCCTTCATTAAAAATGGCTGAATTAAGTGGCTCTTCCAAAATCATGCTGAATGATCTGTCTAACTGGGACCAATGGATATCAAAAATTCAGAAATTTGCTTTAACACAAAACATTTGGGCTCAAATTGACCCTTCCAGCACATCACGAGTACCATGTCTCAAGTATCCGGAGGAACCATTGATAACGGTAGTTAAACCAACTGCAAGATTAATTACAGATCTTGCCATTGATGAACTAAGGATATATGAGTTCCTTTACAATTGCTATTGTACGGACCTTTAGGCCTACAAGGTATTGAAAGGCTATGCCGAGCTGGAATGACGTACCGTTAGGATGAAGGTATGGAAGGAGGTAGCTGTGGCTTTAAGAGAAGTAAAGTTCGTGAGTTATACTCTTAGGACTTGGATCAATGGACGAACTTGAGGATATTCCCTAGTATTCTCAAGTGTGTAAATAATATGGAGATTGTTTGAATTTCCTATTGTATGAATTGCTTGATTTATCTACGTGACAGGACCTTCCTCTATATACATGAACAAGGGGGTTCTGCACACTAGTGGATGTTCCAACATCTGTCCTTGTCTAACCGAGAAAGGAAGGATGTGAGAGATCCTAGCGCCAATAGATACCATTAGGAATCTATTGGGAAATACTATGTCATACCAATGAGTGATGATTTAGGTCAATCATATCCCATGGCGCATGTGCACATTATTCTAATGTGAACAGTTTATTGTAATGCAGTCATGTTACTCCCTTAATTACAACACAAGGATCAACAAAGGTCACTTGCATTTATCCAAGAGTTCATAATAAAAACAATTGGTAATTACCACTCGACTATTTCCGATGAACATGATGTTGCAAGTGAGTTGGTACTTTTGAAACGTCGACTCCAACTCTCAGGGTGGGTACAACAGAAGGAGATTTTAAGCAAGTACCAATCTATTCTTAATTCCCCTGATAGAACGGATATTTCTACATGGGTTACAAATTTGCAGAAAGTTTTCACTGATGCTAAAAGAATTGGTCTTCCAGAAGCACAGGGTCTTCGACCGACCCAATCATTTCTCGAGGCAATTTGTTGTATTGACAATTCATTTTCAGATTATTGGACTAACAAGTTAGAAGATGAAGCCAGAAGTAATGTACAAGGGTGGGAAGAAATATCCCCGGATGGTATAGAGTTATCAGAGATATTTGAGCGTACACAGGCCACCAAAGCTGCAAATACCTCACTAAATCAAGCATCCTTTGCTGTGTATAAAGGTCAAAATTCGACATTAAACACTCAGCCTGAATCATCTACCTCATCAAATGATCCATGTACTTCTGGTCCTCCTTCGAAAAAGCCTGCGTGTCTGTGTGGGAGGAAACATTACTTTTCAGAGTGTTATTACATTAATGAGGCATTAAGACCAAATAATTTTAATCCTTCATTAGAAAGGCAACAAAAAGTCGATGCTTTTCTTAAATTACCTACAAATAATGCTAAAGTTGATGCAGCATTTAAAAAGGCAAATGGTTCTCGACAGAAACAAAATTCTGAGCCACATCAAAGCTCAGGTCAAAATTTACCTAATATTCAAGTAGTAGCCGTAGTATAAACAGCTTCTACTTTTTCTCAACCTTCTCTCAACTGCTCCAATTATCCTTTAAAAAATTCATTCATTCTTGATTCAGGCTCTGACAGGCATATCTGCAATGAATTTTCTCGATTCTCAAATTACTTTTCTAAGCCATCTACAGCTGTAGCAGGGAGTGGGCAATCTGAAGTTCTTGGATATGGAACAGTTTTTACGAAGATATCAACAGGACTTTTCCAACTAAATAACGTGGCGTATATACCATCTTTCCATACGTCTCTTGCATCACTCACTAGGTTACAGTCTGCAGGAATTTTGCGGAATCCACAGACAGGATGCATTTTTAATTCGGAAAAAACAATTTGCTTTACAGAAAAATTGTTCAACCAATATGTTATTGAATATAACAAATTTGAATCAGTAATTACTGAATCTTCATTTTCCACAAAGGATTCAGATTTAAAATTTGTAACACCAACAGATATTCCAATCTGGAATGAACAACTTGGACATCCTTCTAGTCAAGTATTCGAAAGAGTTCTAAAAAATCATTCTTTATCACCATTTGAAATTAAAAAAGAACTATAGAACTGCGAGCCTTGCAAGCTTGAAAAAGTTAAAAGGGTAGTATTGTTCTTGGTCAAGTATAATTATACAAAACCAATTTTTTTCCACACAATTTCAAATTTATCTATTCAAAAACTTTTAAATTTTATTAATGTTCAGAGATTTTTAAAGGCTCAATTTTCGCTTGGAATCTGCATTTTTAATCGAGATAATGATGTTTCTTTGCAACAAGAATATCAAAATTTTATCTCATATCATAGAATCTTAGATGAGCTTACTGGGCCTCATAAACCTGCTCAAAACGGCTCCGCTGAGCGTTCTGGGGGGGTAATTTCTACAAAAGCGCGTACAATGCGTATTTCTTCGAATTTACCAGAATTTCTCTGGCCCGAGATTTGGAAAACTACTGTGTTTATTTATGATCGCCTTCCTCACAGCGACTCAAGGTTGATGTCAGCTTCTAGCGTGCTATCTGTTGTGATCTAACGCTTTTCATCCTCGGACTTCATAGTGAGCAGTAGTTGTATAGCGAGTGATGCCATGCGGGGGAGAAGGAACAGGATGGCGAAAGCCGCTAGCCAGATCTAAGCAATCTGGCCCACTTGTAGATGGACAAATCCCTTTTGTATATAGAAAAATAAAACCCTAACTAGTACAACAACAATAGTAAGAAACTCATACATCCACTCCTCAGTTATCTCATACATTGTGACCCATAAACCTCACTCTCATATCTACCACAAAACGCCAAAGCTTCAACACTATCTTCAGCCCAAATTGAAAGCAATAAGGAGAGCTGGATATCTACAACTGGAAAACTGATTAACTGGCTTCAGAAAAATCATAAATATGCTCTGTGTTGGAAGGTCTTACAATGTGATATCACAAGGGTCAACAAATGTCAGGTTTGTTATTTGAATGTATATATCTATCTCTCTCTCTTTGTTATGAATTTGTTGTAGATAATTTGAATAGGGTGGCGCACGGGCTATTTCGTGAATTTGGTTGGAGCTAGGCAAATGGAGCTTAGATTATGTTGGTTGGAAATTTAGAATTTGCTCCTTAGTTCTAACAATTTTGTTACATGAGACATGACCTTGTACCCTTCAGTACTCAGAATTTAATAAAGCTACTTGTTCAACTATTCGTGATTAATCTGCTACCTTTTAACCGTCGCCTCGCCGAAACTGACTCGACCTCTGTAGCTTAACAGCTTCGTAATTTAGCCCACAAGTAAGTTCTTAACACTCTTCTACGTCTTCCATCATTGATATAAGTTATACATGACAAATTGTTCACATGAGAACACGTGGTAATATATGAGGTCATGGCAGACACTCTCTCTGTCGAGGTTTGACCAAGCTTATTAACCCACACTCTGTCTATATTGACAGATTTATCATTTCTACACGCATATGGATGTAAAGCTTTTCCTCTCACCACAAAAGCATTAATAAATAAGTCTAAAAGAGATCTGAAATTAGAAGCCCACGCTGTAATCGGATATCTGGTAGGCTATGACTCAACAAAATTTTTTCGGATATAAATCCGATCAAGGAAAGAAGTCTAAAGGGTTGGAGACGTCACTTTTAACGAAAAATTATTTTTCTCTGAAAACAAACAACAGCATTATTTATTTGATATTCCTGAGATTAGATTTTAAGCCCATATTCCAGAAGAGTATCAATCAGACAAAAAATGTTTTTTTATCCTGGATAATTTTGTTCACAAAGATTCAAATCCACTCCCTCATTTAACTCTTCCAACGCCGAAAACTATTCAAATTCCAATTCCAACTTCAGAAAATCCCTCCAAACCAAAAAATCCTCTATTAACTGATCTAAGACCATCTCGCTCAACTAGATTTAGCGGAAAGTACTCAGCATTTTCTTTGATAAATTCAGAATAATCTACAACATCTTTTCATGCGGCATTCCAATCTTCAGTACAACAAAAAGAAAAAATACATAGAAAAGACCTTCCGCCGCTTCCTCGATTTTGGTATGATCTCAATACTCATCCCCTCGGTAAGGAATTTAAGTATGCAGGGAAATTGGAATGGGATTTACTTCATGAAAGAAAGACGTTTTTCTCACCTCCAATTCCTAGAGATCAGGCAACAAGTAAGTGTTGAAATATGATATATCTTGGAATGCCAAGAATAACTTATTAGTAAGTCCGGCTAATTTGACTATCAAATTCCCCATTCTATATTACTGTTATCAATACATCATTCACCAAAAGTTTAATGCGCATTAGCGTTTATTTCACACTAGCATTCCAGCGGATGACTATGTCTCAAATGCAGGTTATAGTTTTCTCGTATCTATTACCAACACACATGTATTTAGCTTTATATTCCTGACCCATATATGTGTATGTACATAGATCTACATCTACATGGATCATAACTTACGATCCATGGAGATTGATAAATACTGGTCAAAAACCACAGTTGATAAGACATGCAAACACGCAATCTCATTCTTATCATCTCGGTTTTACTCTGAACCATACATCTAAATACAATTGTTTCCACTCGGATCTTCCTCTCACAACCTCATACGAGACTTACTGCATCGGTCTAACCGCCGACACTGATTCCGCTACAACCTCCATCTTTGCTCAAGCTAATAACTTTAACAGTAAGCTGCTACCACTAACATGGGCCTTTGCGTACAGATTTAATAAACACGGATATCTTCGGAAAGTAAAATCGCGCTTATGTGTTTGCGGAGATTTGCAGCCATATAATAATAATGACACGTATGTAGCAACATTAGCAGCAAGAAACTTTCGCATCTTAGCTGCCATAATTGCGAAGTTTGACCTAGAAGCTCGATCCCTTGATGCAATCAACGCCTTTACTAATGCAGATCTAGATGAAGTTGTATATGTGTACTTCCCCGAAGGATTCAAAATCCCCGGATGTGTATTACGCTTATCTAAGGCTCTATTTGGACTCGGGAGATCACCTCTACTTTGGCAAAAAGAGCTCTCTTCAACTTTTAAAATACTTAACCTCGATCAAAGCACAGAAGAGCCGTGCATTTATTTTTAACAATTTTTATTGACTTTAAACTTGTTTTCAATATTGTATATGTATGTTTGTTATCACAGACATTGGAAATAATTCATGAGATTGCTTAATGAGAGGCTAGTATTGATTCCAGTATAATATTGTAGAAGACTTGTCCCAACTATCAGAGGGCTACAACGTCTTTATCTATCTACAGGTAAATTCCCCATATTCTAACCACCCTAGCCATAAAGGACGTAGCATGTAAAACCTGATTTGTATCATGATTTTGGGGTTGAGGTTTACTGTGCATATGCTACTCGAGTTGCATGTCTGACAACTATGCAACACACTCAGGCATCAATCTAACAACCCACACCAAATCGAAACTATTCACAACCCTGATGATGACCCCATGAATAATTGTAACAGTAGCCTGCAACATAGCACAATTACGGTAGACATTGTTGACCAGGACCTAATCCGAACAAATTTACTCTTAGTATTCTTTTACGTCGATGATATCATTGTCATATTTCGCAATGAACAAGGGAAACCAACAGAGATATTCATCACACAGCTTAAAAATAAATATGCTCTCACATGCAGGGGAGATTTATCATCATTTCTTGGAATTTGCATAACACGAGATTGAGCTCAAAAGAAGCTGTGGCTCACTCAGGATTCAAATATCAAAAAAATTGCAAACTCGTTTAATTTAGCTCATGATAATAGTATAAAAGACTGTCCTTTTTGTCTCCTGTCCACTGAAACTTTCGAAAAAAGTAAGGGGTTGACATCAACAGAAGAGATTCATTATTTTCAGTCACTTATGGGATCTACCAACTATGCTGCTATTTCAACACGTCCAAATATATCAAAATATTCTAACTCACTGGCTGAACATTTGCAAAATCCAACGCTTTAACATATAACTCTTGCAGAGAACCTAATAACATATTTATATTCAACAAGATATCTATCTATAGAGTTTGCAGACACTCCATTGGAACCGGAGTTGTGTATATCATCAGATGCAGCTTTCGCTGATGATCCTCAAACTAGATATTCATCTTTCATGGATCATTGTGGCATAGCGTATTATGAAACGCCATGCAGACGGCTAAGTTAAAACACAAATAATAGTTCAATGCACTTGTAAAACCAGCAAGGAAGACTGATAAGAATGGGCTGGTTTCATTAGGTGATGTGTAGCAGATTGTTGGGCATAGGGGCTGTGTGCTACGTGCTATTTGGTAATTTTATGTATATAAATACTCGGCGTGAAGAAGCATTATTCTTCACACAATGTCTTCTTCATGTAACGGCTGTTAAGCCTAGGGATTCCTGTAGCCTACGCTGGCTAGCGCAGGCAATGAATGCAAGGGAATCTTCGTGAAGGATCTCGGAATACAAGGAGCTTAGAAGATTCTCA